CCGCGCACACGTAAGTTTGGAGAAATCTGCTGCGGTTCCCTATTAGTGATACCGGCATGCATTCATGCGATCAGTCCCGTGACGTACATTAAAAACCCAAATTTAGCAGTTCTGCTGTACTATAGTCCCCCTCCTCCCTCCCCTTTCCATTTTTGCAGAGCGAAAGCTGAAGAGGGCCTCCTCTCCCGCGGTCTTTCCAGCTGCGGGACGGAGCTTCGAGACCCCTGGTCTAGATAGAGAGGTAAATTAGCATTATACAAAGTATTATCACGTGAAACGAGCAAATAATCGATAAATGTATTCTGGAGTTTCCCTAATGTATAAACATTTTAACGAGTTGTACGATCAAGGATTCATACCATTTGACGTGAAAAAAAAAGGCAACAATTCGTGACCAGGCAGTCCTGACCGAGCGTGCTAACGAAATGGGACTTCGAAATGCAACTAAAACTGTTAAAACTGCGGTGCGTTAGGAATGTCGGTAAAATTGGCGCGCACCCTGTGAAACAATGCCGAGGAGCCGGAAACCTGGACTGGATTCTGATAGCCGACCCCCACCAGATTCCCACAGTTTCCATACGAAAACAAAAACTTCCAAAAACCACTTCGTTCACATTTGTGCTCGCCTTGGCGCAGTTTGGTGCACTTATTCACTTTGGGCGCAACAAGGCACAGGCAAGCGGGAATTTATCAAAATGGCGCAAATGGTGCAATTGCACCACCCCTGATCTCCGGGCACGACGGGAGCAAGAAACTCGAAGGAGCCGGGGTTCCCCGATATGTACACTGTTTAATACATATTTACAGCGTCAAAAAAGTCAGAAAAAACAAAAAACGAAAAAAATTAGCCAGTGCAGCACGACCGCTAACCTTGGGTTTTTAACGTGCATCACGCAGTAGTGATTACCCGAAAGCGTACCGGTACGAAACTCATCTAGATCGAAACGGGCGATCGAACCCAGGAGGTTCTTGGCGCAAGCTTTCCCTCCATGCTCCGAGCTGAGATGCGTAGCCCACTCGGCCACTTCCTCTCCCGAACAAAATAAGGCGTCCGTTTTCCCTACTTCCCCAGATAGGGAAGTATAAAAGGCTCTGGGGAGCCCAAAAACCTGTGTCTGCATCCCATCTCGTCACCCAACAGGGCACGAGGCTCCGCCTCCGTAGCCCCTCCCCGCACACACATAAACACACACGAAGGTCAGTGTCGTCAGGATGCCTTGAGGCCGTGCCAGGTGCCGATGGTGACGTTGATCCCACGCAAATCCTCTGATCAGACGAACTCGCTAATCCACCAGGAACTTCTCGTGGTCCGGGGAGCTGACGAGACGCTAAGCCGATCGCCGATTCGTTGTGTGGTCGAGACGAGGCGAACTCTTTGGCGTCCGCGTCTCCCAGGGAGCAACACCCCTTTGTCCAACTCAGGGAAGGAGATGATCTGGTCAGCCAATAAGTAGGGATCAGCTTCTTCAGACGCTGTTAAAGCCACCGAGCCCAGCTTTGCTGCTTGAGGGAAGTCCAGGTGTCGTGAAGCCACCCCCTTTGACGACGATAATTTCCCATCATTAGAGGCTTGCGCTGGTCGTTCATAACAAGGCCGGCACAAAGACGCAGCAGAAGGTCGCAGACGGGGAGGGAGAGTATTGGTCGCATAACGCCGGGTCAACACCGCCAGACGCGACCGGAAGGTACTCAAAGCAACGGGTTGACGCAGCGCGTCGAAACTCGCGTCAACCCCTCGCCAAGTGTGTTTCTCAAGCCCATTTTGGGCAACCACTCGTCAAATATGTCGCGCAAAATTTTTAATCGATATTACTAAATGCCTTGGCGCGAGAGCATGCGCGAGAAAATACGTTGTCTACACTGGGGTGCCCTCATGTGAACACGGGCGCGCTGGCGTCTGTCAAAATAGCTGTGATCTGGATGTTCTACGTTGAACAGCGCTGGGTTAGGTTTATTCCGCGTAACTAGTTCTACTTTTGTTAAATACGAGCGATTTTAGAGCATCTCCATTTCCTTTCCCTGCAGAGAAGGTGTAAGCGAGCATATTAAAGGCCGGTTCGCACATAAATCGCAGAGTTAAATCAGCAATGATGAAGCGCTGACTTCAACGTAACGTAGCACTGATGCAGCGCTTTATCGGGGCTGTATCACTAATATAGCGCTGCATCAGTGACGTCTGCGCTATTTCCTGCACTCACTAATACCGCTAAGATACTAGCGCTGCGGTGCATGTGTGTGTGTGAATGGACCTTTATTGTGAAGTATGTCGTCCACCCACCGGCACTGTTACGCCGTATACTCCCATCGCTCAAAGTTGCCAATGTTCGGAGGCTCCATATTCTTCGCTCGCGCCTCATCCAAGTGTGCTGCTCATCCCACACCGCTCCCTCTGCCCAAAGCGTCCAGTAAAACTCCATCCATCGGCCGCGAGGCGCCAGCGCAAGGTCACACGGGACGGACAATTACAAGTGCCAGGAACTTTCCGCGGGCAAGGAAACCCCTCAGCGTGCGTCACGGGCTGGAAACTTCTCCAACTGAACACCCTCGCCCCTGGGGGGAAGACCACACGGAGGCATTCGAGCTTCAACAGCGTCAAACGCGGAAAAACTAAGAAAAAAAAAAAAAAAGAAACAGAAAGGTATCTTTGTATCTTTCCATTTCAGTTGGCACGTTCAGCAGAACCCCGGCGCGCAGATAGGGACGCGCACGATGACGCCAGGAGACCCCGGCGTGACGTCATGATGATCGAATGGTTCAGCACCACCGCGGAGAGATACATGTTCGCTCGTGCCCATACTAACCAAACCCCATCGACTCCCCGTCATTAGGAAGAACACCTAATCTGTACCAAATCACATTGGTGAACGGGATACCAGTATATCGCTCTCAGAGCCAACCACCGCAACTTACGGAGACAGCTCAGCAAATGACGATGCCGAAACATATGTTTAGACCAACAAAACGCAGTCCGAGTTGTGACGAGTTGCAATCGTGACGTTTTGCATTGCTTAATGTCACAACTTAAACTGCGTTTTTTTTTTTTTTTTTTTTTTCATTGTTATTTGTTGAGCTGCCTCCGTAAGTTGCGGTGATTGGCTATCCGGGTGTTGGGTGCAAAAAAATAGACGCACAAACTTTTTTTTTTTTTTTTTTTTTTTTTTTTTTTTTTTTTTTTTTAGTGTGGCAGCGGTCGGCTCTTTCAACTGCTTTGTGGGGAAAGTAGATGCACCAGCGTTCTTAGAGACCTTGCCAAAGATAGCAACGACGTCCATTTGAGGCGCTTAGCGGCACAGTGAATTCTGCTATTTCCTGCCCTGCTACGCCGTTCATGGGAGCAAGAGAGAGCACACATCCTGCCCCGATATGTATATAGGGTATATATTACTTCCCCGTAAACCCCATCCTTCCGTGTATCTCGTTTATCGTACCTGGAATTTCGAGAATTCTCGAGTCTCATGGGCTGGTCAGAGAGCAGTAGTGGATACCGTAGATTGTGCCGGATCGCTGCTGAAGACGCCCTCGAAACCACACCCAACGCCTGCAAGTTCCATACACTCCACAGCACCGAGACAACACGAAAAACGGAAAGATCCCGCAGCGGATGACGAAGCACCTGAGAGGTCCCTGCGCACTTCATATTTTCCGGTCTAATCGCTTCGTCATTAGGTGGGATCCTGGTATTGCACGCTGTGATTGGCTGTCTCGTGTTCTGCAGGAAAGCGAACTCACAGAGACCTGTGTTTAGAATACAGGGGGGAATGGCCTGCTTAGCTGAGGCTATTCGGAAATCAGATTTTGTCAACTCATTTTCCTTTTCTTTTTTTTTTTTTTAGGAAAGGGTAGATTTTGGGATATTATTGCGACAGATATAAATTTTCACGCACAAAATATACCTCGCAAACGAATCAAAAGCCGTCTTTGCAATATTTATTCCTGTGACAAATGCACCGATCAAATAAAAAATTCTTGTTGTTTTAAATGTACTGGTATTTGCTTTTTTACGGCAGCCTATCTCGTATCTTTCATATATATATATATATATATATTTTTTTTTTTTATCCCCAGCGGTGGCACGCCTCGCGGCATCGTCAACTGAATTAAAAACACCAACAGGCACGGCACGGCAGTGCAAAAACAGGAAGTCGGAAACATTAATTATTCAACCCAGCGACAGATATGCCATTCATAACGAGGAACGCACACGTATTCATGCACTCAAATGTCGCAAATTGACGGCTCTTTTTGTATGCTTCGTTCATTACATGCTTTTGCACGCGCGCGTGTGTTTCTTCGACCAAGCCAACTGCCGAACGTTGACCGGAGGGCCGCAATGCTGCCATCTAGGGACAGACACGGGAAACGAACCGCTCCGCTTTCGGAGACTCAACAATCCCGGCAGAGCTTGTTGCGCGACTTCAAGAGGGAATCTCTCGAGCACGGGGAATGAGTGTGTTCATGGATGAGCACGACGCTGACACAATTCAGCATCAGCTGGGATTCCCAGATTCACCGTTCCGAGCCTACTCACTTCTAACAGACCGCTCGCCTTCTCTCTTCGGCGGTGCTATCCTCTATTTTTCATGTCTTTTTTTTTTGCCCCCGAGGCGTCGAGTTAAAGCAATACTTACGGAAACGGACCCAATTAAAAAAAAATAAATAAATAAACGATTCGGTCTCATGCATTTACGCACGCCTTCATACCCGTTTCGAACACATTGATGGAATACGCAGAGCGGTTTGAACGCACCATCAACGAACCCGGATGCGCGTTTCGTCGCGAGAGAAAAATCGAGGCACAATCCTAAGCGCCTGAAAGCAGGTCGATCTAAATTAACTGGGAAGCCTTTTCCAGGTTTCAATGGTGCAACGAGCCCAGCTAGCCACGAAGGAACCGGCGGCCCGGCGAGCGAGCTCTAGCTGCCGGGACGTGTTGACGTTTGCGGAGTCAGGTTGTGTTTCGCTCCCGGATGCACGGCGCGATCGGCAGAACGGGCCCTCACCTTTGACGCCTTGAGCGCGCCGGGGTTGCTCGTATCCGTCCAGAGTTTCAGCCGGACGTTGTGAGCCGAGCCGTGAGGCCGCAGCGACGGAAAACCCTGCACGACGGTCTCCTGAGCGCATCCCAGCGCCGACGAAGACGGGAAATCCTCGACGATCTCGGACCGCACGTTGAACAGCGTCTGGATCCGCTCCAAGCAGCAGTGCAGCACATCGATGTCGTACACTTGGAGGACAACGTCGACGCTCGTTTCCATCGCAGCGCGAGATACATCCGCCGCGGCGTGTGGGCGAGCCTACGGCCACTCGAGCTTCGTGCTACCTATCGCACCTCCATTCGACGGGGAACCCCTCGCTGTCGCCATCTTGGGAAGTGGGCGAGGGAGATTCTTCGACGGCGCGATCTGCGTTCGAGGCTGCGTGGCGCACGACGCCCCGTCGTCTCCGCCGCACGGAGCGCTGGGAGAATGAAACCGAAAGTTGTCGGCGTTATGATCGAACTTTTCTGGGCTGTAATAGCCACGGAAAAACCTTCTACTGCAACGAGGAGCCATTGTCGCCTCCTTATTTTAATAAAATTGCCTCAGTGTTCCGGCTTTGATCAATTTTTATGCACTATAAAAAAAAAATGTGTGTTTACTTTTTCGCACAACACTCGAAGAGCCAATCACTGCAACTTACGGCGGCAGCTCAGCGAATAACGATGCCGAAACATATATGTTTAGTAAAAAAAAAAAAAAAAAAAAAAAAAAAAGCTTGAGGAACGTTTTAGCATGTCTTATGAGTTTTGAATGCGAAAGCATGCAAGCCGCTCGTCCGCTCCCTTTGCCGTCTGCTACCGCGCGCGTGCTTCGGGATCTCGGAGCGCGGCGGCCAATGGGAGCCCCGTCGACGCACGCCAGCCAATGGAACCGAAAACGATCAGGGAGACTAGGAGCCGTTTTCGCGCTTCAAACTGATGACGTCAGCTCGCTCCATGAGACCAGTTCATGCTTTCGCATTAAAAACGCAGTCTGAGTTGTGACAGTAAGCAATGCAAGAACTCAGAGTGAGGTTTTTGTTCTAAACATGCGTTTAGGCATCGTCATTCGTCGAACTGTCTCCGTAAGTTGCGGTGATTGGTTCCCCGAGTGTTGTGCGGGAAAGTAGATTCGCAGGCTTTATTTAGAGTGTGGTCGCAAAGCAGATGGAGTCTGCGAGTTCACTCTCCTGCAGAATGCGACAACGTCCAATCACGGTGAACGACATAATGATCCCAGCGAATGACGAAGCCCAGAATACGTTTAGATCTGAAAAATACACGCTAAAAAAAAGCCCGTGCGCCTACTTTCCCGCACAACACTCGGAGAGCCAATCACCGCAACTTACGGAGGCGGCTCAGTGATTGACGATGCCGAAACATATGTTTAGACTAAAAAAACACAGTCCGAGTTGTGACATAAGGCAATGCAAGCAATTTTTGGTGCGTTTTTTTTTTGTCAAAACATATGTTTTGGCACCGTCATTCGCTGAGTCGCCTCCGTAAGTTGCGGTGATTGGCTCTCCGTGTATTTTGCAGGAAAGTAGGCGCACGGTTTGTTTGTTCTTTTTTTATGGTGTAGGGTGCACGCAGGGACAAGGAGTAAGTAAAACGTTATGGTCATTGGGTTTTTTTTTTTTTTTTTTTTTTTTTAGCTGCATTTTGAGCTTTATCATTTGCTGGGATCCTGTTGTTCGCCGTAAATGGCTGCATTCGTCTTTTTTTTTATTTTTTTATTTTCGGGATCTAAAATCCGGGAGCCGTTAGCTGAGGTGGTGGTACTGCGAGATAAAAGCTTTTATTCTGTAGTAACTTGTAAGAGATGAGGCCTTCGACAATCGCAAACAGAGTCGTCGCATTGTAATGTTGTAACCGCTGTGTCCACAAGCGCGCTTTTCTTTCTGTTTGTTTTTAGGTTGACGACCGCGAGAAGAGCAATTCAGCAATAACTTTAAGCCAGCGAATGAAAAAGGTGTTCGCGCAGAAAATGCAAACACGAAATAACTGCCGCAGAGCGATACAGCTTATGACTTTAGAGAGTTTTTCTCGTTTGCACTAGCGTCGGCGTGCTCCACGCTGCGCATGCGCGTCGTCGCCATGCGCCAATCCTAGACCGCAGTTTGGGTTCCACGCACGCGCAATGCGGAACAGGCAACGCTAACGCACGGAGCTTGCGTTCACTCGTACACGCAACACTAAAACTCACTACTATGTGAGTTACCGAGCAGATATACACATAAACTATTGCTCACTTATATATTATTGATCGAAATAATCTGACGCATACAAAAAGCTGTATTTTTTTGCGCCCTGACTTTTATTCAGTTGGGTGTTACACGTCTGTTTGGTTCCCCGCTGCAATACTCTTTTTTTTTTTTAAGAGTAGTTTATGAAACAAAGGGTTCTTGTAAAGCACGAGGTCTGCTGTTCGAGGTGTTAGAACTTATTACTGCAATTTATGTGTGCGTTTTAACTTTTTTTTTTTTTTTTTTTTCGTAAATGGGCCGACAAAAGACTATGCTTGGTAGAAGAGCGTGTTGGTTTAAGTCATGGATGAAGAAAGAATAAACAATTAAAACAGGGAAAACACAACCACATCTTTCACGTGGTTGTGTTGTGTTGTGTTGACTATGCACACGAATGCTCACTAATGACAGTTGGCGATGTCCGAAATTTCCTCCAGTCGTCGATGGTGAATAAATTCACGGACCGTGTGTCACCGCGCTACGAAGAACTCTTGATACGCTCTCTAGAAACTTGCAGTCGCCTTTCCCAGTAGCCGACCTTCAGGCACTTATGGTTGTTTCGGTCAACTGACAATTAGAGCCGGACTTTCCAGAGCGGTCCCCAGGTTCTGCTTTCCAACATGTTTTACGGCGCACACACACATGCAATGCCAGCTCGAAGTCGAGGCCTTTTCCTCCCAAACATGATCAGCAGTGGATCCAGGTAGCGCAGCGTCTCTGGCACCTAAAACGGCAAGGATACAGAACTCAAAGAAGGAGGGACTGCAGCAGACGTCAACTGCCTCCTCCGGGTCCGCGAACTCGCGGACGAGGGAGGGAAAAAGGGGGGGTCGTCTTGTTGAAGCGGTTGTACGTCGTGTAGTCCCGCGTAGCCCACTTGTAGACCCAGTTTTAGATGTAGGCACTTCGCCTCTCTTCGATATTTAGACAACGAGCAGACCACACGTGTTGACAGGTTGGTGTCCGTGTTTCGAATATGTCCCGGGAGATGTTGTGTGTTTGGAAGGCAGACTAACAGGCAGGGGCGGACGCAGGTATTTCCATAGAGATAGGGCGGGGGGTTGGATATTTCCCATCTCAAAATTCTGCCTCGCTCGGACATCGAGCGCGTCTTTCAACTAAGTCGTTTTTTTTTTTTTTTTTTTTTTTTTTTTTTTTTTTTTTTTTTTCATTTTTGCAAGCGCTGCGACAAAGGAATCCTTGCTCGCATGAAACGTTCTCTACGTGCTTTCTCGAGAAAACACGAAAGTTCAAAAACGAAGGGCGAAAGGCACGGAAAACGAAGGTAGGAGAGGAGGAAGCAGACGGATTGTCAGAGAGGAGACGAGGGTGTAGTGTTTGTTTGTCCGTTTTTCGCCTCCCCAAAAGAAAGGGGCTCAATGATGCTCCTTCCTTTCTTTTCTATTCTCCATAAAGCTCTCTCTCTCTCTCTATATATATATATATATCTCCCTCTCTCCCTATCTCTCTCGTTCTCTCTCTTGGCGAGGAGCAGTGTTGCAAGATTGGGTTACATATTTTTTACAGCGGAGCTGTCAGGGGCTAAAATCCAACCCCCCCGCCCTAGCTCTATGGAAATAGAGCTAGGGCGGGGGGTTGGATGCGTGCGGCATAGATTTCCTGAATTTAAGAGGCGCCATTGTACTCGCTTGAAATATATCGTAAAAACAGCACTAATTGCTTGACGTGAGAAAACGTCGGCTACAACATCGATGAAGGATTGGTGAGAGGACGGAGATCTGGAGAATGCCAATGCCAGTAACTGGGCCTAGCTCAAGCTTGATATTGTCCGTCTTGCAGAAACGCTGTGATAAAGTGAAGCGGTCTTCCATAGAGACCTGTTTTGAGCCTCCCGGACTAGTGCAATGTACAGGATTAAATCTAACGTTTTCAAAGCCGATAAGAACAATAATGCACAGATTGCAGCCAGACTTGTTGCCAAGGGCAGAGTTGTGAAGTACCGAAAGGTTGTTTTCGAGTGCTTGGGTGGCTTCTAAAGCTGCTTTAGAATGAATGGAGGTATTTCTGGGTTTTGTGATGCTATAGGCTGTAACAGGCGTAATCGCATTTTCCGCTGGTGCCCCTGTAGTGCCCCCATCAGCTGGCCCAGAGGTCAACTATATAGTGCACGTCACGATTTGGGGTCCCTTCTCGCACCCGGATCAAGTGGGTCGCCTCCTGGAAGGCCTGGGGATGTACTGTTGGAGCGAAATTGTAGGATCAGTCTAATGGGCTGCTAAGAAGTTATCCCATACGACGAATCATGCAGAGCCCTTTGAAGGCTGAGGTCTAAGGCTTGCAACGAGATCAGATAGGTAGGTGGTCGCTTCCCACTGTCGGTGTGAACTCGCCATACCCCTCGGCTTGGAGAGCCACACGTTAACCCTCAGCTCTCAGGCCCGAGCCCGCTGTACTCGTCATACTTTTGCACCAATAACGCCGATAATGAGTCCGTCTTGTCCAGTCCAGAACCATTTCAAATTTGCCTCATGGCCCCTTATCCAATTCCAGGTCGTGAACTTTAACAGCAGAGGTGCGTGAAATTCATTTTCTTCTTTGTTTAGAGTGCATTTGATCTGACAATGGGTATCTAAAAATGATGCCTGCGATAGTGTTTAAGTAACGCGGCTCGTGAACAGGCTTTTTGTGCGGTGCCACTCATTTCATCAAATGACATTTCCCCGACAGTTTGCTACAACGCTGCGACGTTTTATCAACAGATTGTTTCATCGACATATCTTGCTATGTTTCGTCGACAAGATCTTTGTTTGGTTAGGGGTGCGCTGCTTTGTTGGTGAGCAAGGGTACGGGTACATGAACGGGGGCAGGACCACCCTTACACGCTGCTGCGAAGCGGCATGTGCGGGTGGGCTGGGTGGGTCCACATTTTTGTAATGAACTGCTGGAGACTGTCGCCGCAAAGCGTCGTGAACTGGGTCGGTCGGATAGTTTAATATGTGCTTCAGTGATAAACGCGCAACAAAATGTTCCTCCAGCGTGCAATTTGTGTGTCGATGAAACTTCACAGCACAGTGTGGCAGTATCGATGAAACGAGAGTCGTAAAATGTTGATGAAACGTGTCGATGAAACAACAGGGACCCTTCTTTCCAATGGTTCCATGGAGGCTCTGACAATGAGACTGAAAGGTTGCCTCCAAGAAGCTCAATGTTTTTTT